CGTTAGCTTGATATGTTAGTTTCCATTGCCACTGTTGTTATCAGCTAATGGTGCGTTCACTTTCTCCTCGGAAATTCTAACTTCCCAGTAGGAAAAATCAAATGAAAAAAGACGGCAAAAGGAATGAAGATACACAGTAAATTTAGTTCACAGTAAAGATGTTTGCTTCAGTTTAATTATCAGCTTATAAAACTACAAGGACAATGTTAAAATACAAACAGTTGAATGTTATTTATCGTGATATTTATCAAATATTGTTACATATTGAGAAAAATATATATTTAATTATAAAAGAGAATTAAAATAATAAACACTCAAAAGTATTGAAAATTGGTACCATTAAGTACCGTTATCGATTCGTAGGTACCGGGAATTAGTACCGAATCGATTCAAATGTCAAAGGTACCCATCCCTATAAATGATTAATCAATTTTAGGGATCAGATTATCTATTTGATCAAAAAAGGCATCGCAATCTGCTTGGGAGAACTGTGAGGAGTATAAATTAGAATAGAATGTATAAGTTTCATTTTCCAAGATTTTAGGGTCGTCACATTCAATGCCATCAATTAATAGGGAAGATATAAGATTTCTTTTCTGTCTGCTCTTTTCTAAATTAAAAAAATATGAGGAATTTCTTTCCCCCTCCTCAATCCATTTAGCGCGTGAATGCACAAAAGCTTCTTCTGCTTTATTTAGGTAGAGCTGATCTAATTTAGTTTGCAACTCCATAAGTTTACTCAGAAATATTTAAAGTTATATCTTCTAACATATTTTTATTCTGACTTTCATTATTATATCCGTAAACATTGACTAAAATGAAAAACAAACTTTCAACTCTCATTACAGCAATCAACCAATGACCATTCAAGTCAGTTCGTTGTATTACAAGATCCCCAGGAAAGTTATTGAATAAAATTGCTACACCCCCCGACCTTGTTGAGCCATGGCTAAATAAGATTTTGCTGCCCCATTGGTTTGACCAAAAAGATACAGGTGCTGGCCAGTAAATTAGAATATCATCAAAAGGTTGAAAATATTTCAGTAATTCCATTCAAAATGTGAAACTTGTACATTATATTCATGCAATGCACACAGACCAATGTATTTCCAATGTTCATTACATTTAAATTTGATATTCATAAGTGACAACTAATGAAAACTCCAAATTTGGTATCTCAAAAAATTAGAATATTCTGAAAAGGCTGAATATAGAAGACACCTGCTGCCACTCTAATCAGCTGATTTACTCAAAACACCTGCAAAGGCCTTTAAAAGGTCCCTCAGTCTTGTTTTGAAGGCACCACAATCATGGGGAAGACTTCTGACTTAACAGCTGTCCAAAAGACAATCATTGACACCTTGCACAAGGAGGGCAAGACACAAAAGGTGATTGCTAAAGAAGCTGGCTGTTCGCAGAGCTCTGTGTCCAAGCACATTAACAGACAGGCGAAGGGACGGAAAAAATGTGGTAGAAAAAAGTGTACAAGCTCTAGGGATAACCGCACCCTGCAGAGAATTGTGACGACAAACCCATTCAAAAATGTGGGGGAGATCCACAAAGAGTGGACTGCAGCTGGAGTCAGCGCTTCAAGAACCACCACGAGGAGACTCATGAAAGACATGGGATTCAGGTGTCGCATTCCGTGTGTCAAGCCACTCTTGAACAAGAAACAGCGCAAGAAGCGTCTCGCCTGGGCCAAGGACAAAAAGGACTGGACTGATGCTGAGTGGTCCAAAGTTATGTTTTCTGATGAAAGCAAGTTCTGCATTTCCTTTGGAAATCAAGGACCCAGAGTCTGGAGGAAGAGCGGAGAAGCACAGAATCCACGTTGCATGAGGTCCAGTGTAAAGTTTCCACCGTCAGTGATGGTGTGGGGTGCCATGTCATCTGCCGGTGTTGGCCCACTCTGTTTCCTGAGGTCCAGGGTCAATGCAGCCGTCTACCAGGAAGTTTTAGAGCACTTCATGCTTCCTGCTGCTGACCAACTTTATGGGGATGCAGACTTCACCTTTCAACAGGACCTGGCACCTGCACACAGTGCCAAAACCACCAGCACCTGGTTCAAGGACCATGGTATCCCTGTCCTTGATTGGCCAGCAAACTCGCCTGACCTTAACCCCATAGAAAATCTATGGGGTATTGTGAAGCGGAGGATGCAATACGCTAGACCCAACAATGCAGAGGAGCTGAAGACGACTATCAGAGCAACCTGGGCTCTCATAACACCTGAGCAGTGCCACAGACTGATCGAGTCCATGCCACGCCGCATTACTGCAGTTATTGAGGCAAAAGGAGCCCCGACTAAGTATTGAGTGCTATACATGCACATTCTTTTCATGTTCATTCTTTTCAGTTGGCCAACATTAGAGAAACAAACATTTTTTCATTGGCCTTTAGAATATTCTAATTTTCTGAGATACCAGATTTGATGTTTTCATTGGTTGTCACCTATAAATATCAAAATTAAACGTAATAAACATCGGAAATACATTGGTCTGTGTGCATTGCATGAATATAATGTACAAGTTTCACGTTTTGAATGGAATTACTGAAATATTTTCAACCTTTTGATGATATTCTAATTTACTGGCCAGCACCTGTACATCACTATCAGATGAATGAGTCTCTTGTAGGAAAATACCGTTTGATTTTTTAACTTTGCAGTACAAAAATAAGGCTTTTCTTTTAACAGATTCTCTTAAACCCCTAACATTTAAGGAACCAAAACAAATGTTAACATTCAACATGAACTATAGACCAAATATCACTCACCAAGTGAAAAAAGACGAGAAAGAAGAAAATTACTAAATGCTAAAAATAGGTTGTTTTTTAGTTTAGTATAACTCTGCTTTTACGTTGCCTATTAACAAAATTTAAAAACTGGGGTGTAGTTTATAATCTCCTTTTTAAAGCTGAATTGAAATCAAAACTCAGGGAGGTGGAGTCTTGCTGCTACAGCGTCCCAAATGAGACCTGTTCAAAAGACTCGTATACGCGTCCATGGACCCCAGAGGGTTAAACGAGATTTAAAAACCGTCAATGATGGAGCCTGTCAAACTACAACAGGTAGAGAGTTCCACAGCTTTGGGGCAGCATGTACAAATGCTCGTTCACCCGTGATATGTAACGTATCTGGGGAGTGCAAAGCAGCAGGAGGTCAGCCGACCTCAACGTGTGCGTGGGTACATAGGGAGTGAGCAGGTCAGAGAGATACGGAGATGCCAGGTCGTTGAGTGCTTTAAAGACAAAAGTCAATAACTTAAACTGAACTCGGAAAATGACAGGGAGCCAGGGAAGACTTTCCAGGACAGGGGTAATATGGCTACGTCGGTGCGTATTTGTCAAGAACCTGGCAGCAGCATTCTGGACGACCTGCAGCCAATTCAGGGTAGAGATTGGAGCACCAACTAGGAGGGTGTTTGAATAGTCCAGGCGAGAGGTAATGAAAGCATGTATGACTGACTCCAAATGCATCTGCTTCAAGATTGGTCTGAGGCGAGTAAGGCGACGAAGCTGCTAAAAGCAAGACCTCACGACTGAGTTAATCTGTGGTGAATTTATAGATCAGTGGGTGAAGAATACACATTAAAAGAAGAATAATTAAATTTCATCCAGTGTGAATATTTTATAGTCAGGCTAGTAATACAGTCATAATTCTTCTTCCGGTTCTTGGAGAGTACAAACACTTTTTTCTCCTCTCCCTCTTCTCCTTATCCCAAGGCTCTTTGTCCTGTCCTGTGTCTTGTATGCATGGCTCTTTCTGCATCTTTTCTGGAAACTGGAAATTATTAAAAGTGGATCTGGTCAGTTGGTCTTTCAACGCGACTGGCAAAAAATTTTCAACGATGAGAACAGGAGAAGGGGCTCCCGGATGCCCCTCTGGGACAGAGTCAGCTGGGTATATCATGGATTCCTGGAAACAGTGGAACCTGATATGCCTCTCTCAACTGTCTGTAGAGGATTCTGAAGACGTTTGGATATTCGTCGTTTTGGTGTCGGGGTTCCTGCTGTTTGGCCTGAGCGGTTACCTGGCTTACCGGAAAATTAGCAAGCTTTCGAGGAATATTGGCTCAATCCTGGAGCTCAGGGACGGAATGCATCGTGCTGTGAACACACGTCGACATATAATTGTCGACATGAGTCGTAAGCTTGGAACTTTGGCTGAGATTCAGGTTCTGGCACAAAAGATGGATACCATCAAGGAGTGAGTGGATGGGGCAGCATGGATTGGGATGGATTAATTACACCATTATTGGATCTAGAGGGGTTGTAGACCAACAGAACACCAAGGCAGAGAGGAAATTATCTCTGTCTGTCCCAAAACAATTTTTATCTGAATCTGGTGCCCTTGGAGCCTGTGAGGCTGAAGTGTAAACTCCCCTCAGAAGAAATGTGGAATGCTGCCGTCGCCATGGCAACTCTTTCTCCCTATGTGGAATGCTGCCGTCGCCATGGCAACTCTTTCTCCCTATCCCAGCCTGGGCGGGACTGTGACCGGTGAAGGCCGTGGAACCGTATCTAGGAGTCACTGTGCTCTTCAACCCATTAATCTCCTTCCCCTGTCCAAACAGAGGTGATGAGTGCTGTTCCATGTGGCTGCACGTACTGAAGTGAGGAGAGTCCCAACCCTACCTCCCCACCTAGTGGACACTTATGTTGTGTAATGTCTGAAGTCTGTTGCATTTCTGTCTGAGGTGTTTTTTTGCATAGCAAAGTTGCCCTCTGTGGAGGGTAACTCTGAAGTGCCTTTTTTCCCCTCCACCTGACTCAATCACATAAACCCTCTTGATCTATTACGGTAGCGCGACTCGGGTTGCGAATGACCACAGTCACCAATTCTTGTCAAGTGTCTATGTATGTATGTCTGATCTCAGAATTGTGTGTACTGAAACTATAATTTCCCTCTGGGGTTAATAAAGTATTTTTGAATTGAATTGAATTCCATTTATTTATAAAAGTTTTCTATTTAGCTGAAGTGACACAAACAACATGATTTTGAATTAGACTTTTAATAAACTACAGCAAATCATCATAAACATCAATAAGATTTCTATGTAACTATTCAGAAGAAGAAGAAGAAGAAGAAGAAGAAAATATCTTTTCTATAGCGCCTCTCAAGATAAAAATCACGAGGTGGTTCACAAAAACAAAAAAATGTAAAAATATCAAAAAGAATTTAAAAAATGGTTAAAAATATATTTAAAATGAGCAAAAAAATAGACAATTGTGATTAAAAAAATATAAAAAAAGAGAGAGAGTGAATAGATAAGAGGGGAATCCCTGGATCCTGAGGAAAGGGGAATAGGTGGGGAGAGCAGAATAAAGAGAGAGTGGTGAAGAAGATCATACAAAAGCCTGAACCAGTGAGTCTTCAGCTGCTTTTTAAAGGAGTCCACTGATCTCAGGCTCAGGGGGAGAGAGTTCCAGAGTCTGGGGGCCACAGCAGCAAATGATCTGTCACCTTTGGTCTTTAGCCTGGTGATGCACAACCAGTAGGCTTTGATCACGGGACCTCAGGGACCTGCTGGGGGTGTAGGGACTAAGAAGACCACCAATGTAAGATGGTGCTTGTCCATGTAAGGCCCTATAGACCAGAACCAGGATATGAAATGAACCCTGAAGTTGACTGGCAGCCAGTGAAGCTGGAGGAGAAGCGGGGTGATGTGGGTGTATTTGGGGGACTTGGTCAGAAGCCGAGCACAGGCATTCTGAACCACCTGTAGACGGTTCAGGGAGGTTCTGCTCAGACACGTGAAAAGAGAGTTACAGAATGGGACTCAGCTTAGCAATGTTCCTGAGATGGAAGAAGGAAGAGTGAACAAGAGAACTGACATGAGAATCCAGGGTGAGAGCTGGGTCAAAGGTCACACCAAGATTCCAGACAGGAGGTTTGGCGTGGGAAGCAAGCTGACCAAGAGAGTCTCTGAATTTGAGAACCAGCTTGTCTGGGGCACAGATGAGGATCTCAGTCTTATCTTCATTCAGCTGAAGAAAGCTCCCAGCCATCCAGGTTTTAATAGTGTCTAAGCAGGTATGTAACAGCTTCAGCTTAGACATCTCATGGGGCTTAAAGGAGATGTACACTTGGATGTCACCTGCATAAAGATGGTAGGAGATTCCTTTGAAGGAGCTCAGGATGTGCTGAAGAGGAAGCAGATAGAGGAGGAAGAGCAGAGGCAAGACAAGAGGCATGACAAGATTTTCTATTGCTGATTTATGGGTGATCAGGGCTTGTTGTGCACACAAACTGTAGAAGAAAACTCCTTTATGACAATCTCAGCTGGTGTTCTAGTGTCTGACGGTAGCTTCAGCCCAGACATCCGTAGCAGGAGGGATTAGCACACACTTCACAAAGATCAAGAGACATGGTGATGTACACTGTAAGAAGCCAAAGAAAAAAAAGTTGTCACTCAAAACTGATCAGTCTCCATTTCAGGACACAGACGAGTGTGTTTCTGAGACTAATGAGGGTTATTGGCCCTGAAAGACTGCCTGCTAATCTACCCAATAATCCCCTTCTCTGCCATCATCATTCCAGTCTTTATGGTGCAGAAATTACAACGTTTAAACATCGAGCTCTAGGAAAGCAGTCGAGCAACTTCAGAATGTGTGTGAATCTGTTTCTAAGGACCGTTGAGCTTAAATGATCAAGGTAAAGGTTAAAGGTAAAGGTTAAAAATCATGTGAGTAGCTTTTTCCTCTTTAATGGAAAAAACAAAACAAGGAATAGTCATTTAGCTTTTGATCAATGACCAAGCTTTTATTGTTATTTTTTAAAATGTTTTTATTGTGACTTTTTTTTTTTACTCCAGTATGTTTTTTTTTTTTAGGTTATCCCTTTTATCTCATATGATCTTTATCTTGTTTTTATCTTGGGGTTTTTCCTTTTATTACTACTGTACAGCACTTTGGTCAGTTGTCATGCTGCTTTTAAATATGTTTTATAAATAAACTTGGTTTTGGTATGGTAATAGTGAAATGGCTTAGATAAAAAAGACAATAAAGTTACATTCATGATAGATTTGTATGTGTTGCTAGTTTGCTTTGGTGCAGTTAAATGCAGCAAGTGATTTTTCACTAATGTCAAATCCATGAAAGAGAACTAATATTATATTTACTCAAAGGTTTGCTTCGTTCAGAAGCATTTACGGTGATGTGGATTTATTTTTACCACATGCATCTTTATAAAAAGGAGAAAAAAGAAGGCCTGGTCCCTTCTCTGGATGATGAAAGTACAAGTGCTCCTTCTATGCAGCCTATATAGTTGTTCACGCATGCTGTAATGAGATGTAAACTCAATCTGATTGTGATGATACGTCTATCATCAGCCAAAATACCTTCTTCCATGTGACACCATCCACAGCCCGCCTCCAGAGATGAATGCACGTCTCATTAGCATTTATATGAGGCCAAAACATATATATTAGCTACAGCTTGGTGAGAGGAGGCTGTGCCATTTAATACTAATAAATGTCTATTTCGTGTGTGTTTGTTCGAATCCCCCTTTGGCTCAGTCTTACCCAGTCTGGAGAAAATGAGTCCCGCCCCCTTCCCTTGGCACACGGACCGGAACACCTGAGGCAGAAGAGGGTGGGAACAAACCACCGTGGTGCTCGTGTCTGCAAGGCGAGGGTTAACGTTGTCATTCAGATCCATCACCTCCTTCAGCGCCTTCACTGCTTCCAAAGGGAAACTCCTCTCTCCAACCTGCAGGGGAAAGTTCACGATTAAGGCAGAGAACATAAAAGACTACACAGTCCAGATGGTCTACGTGCGTGGAGACCAGCAGTTTCTGTTTGTAGGGTTTTGCATGCTGCTTTTATGAATTTGAGTTTGGATTTACAAGATAAAAAAAGACACAGAATGTTAAATTAAATTTGCTTTCTTCACCTTTTCAACTTTCCAAACAATGGATTTAGCTAATTAAGTCATGTTTTAATGTCAAAACGGAGACATCAGTAAGTAAAGAGCCTAAAAACTCACCTGGACTTGCACACTCAGAGCTCCCCTGCACACACACACCAAAACAAGAACAGTACAAAACGCTCTCATGTTTGGATGAATGAAGGCGTTTCCTCTGTGGTCCTTGTTCATGCTTGGCCTCTTTTATAAAGCTCTACGGTGGATCGTTGAGTGATTTATAAACAAAGATGACTGGCGGGATCATGGCCGCCACCGGAACACACTGCGAGTGTTTTGGGCCATCTTCTTGTTTGTACAGCCTCTCCTCCTTGAACATGTTTACCGTTCATTCCATCATCATAATCCAGGCCTGACTGGGATTCAGACCGACACGCCTCCCAATAAATCCCATTTACCCATGCACACATATTCTTCTCACGGATAAAAAGCAGAACCGCCAACATGATGAGGGCTTGCATGTCATCCGTCTGTTTACATAACTTCACAAATGTCGACGTTTCCCACCAGCTCTGCCCGATGTGTGTTCACACTTCCACGCTGAAGCAAAGATAAATCAAGTGTTTAAGCAGCTTTTATGTTTGTTTAGAATAGGTTCAAAGATGATTCTCCGTAGAGCTTTTTAAGGACATTTGAAAAGGCCATTTTTAGTTCAGTATATGGTTTATTGTGAATGTTTATTGGGTTTTGCAGGGGGGTGGGGTGTTTACTAGTCTGTGTACTTTATGTTGCCAGGTGAACAAAATGGATTCAATTGAAGACCGGTGAACGTGTTCCTCTTTTCTGTTCTTCAGTGTCCATCGCTCAAAAGTGCTTTAAATTTTAAAAGAATACAAATCTGAGCGATGAAATTCAATTCAATTCAATTTAAAAATACTTTATTAATCCCAGAGGGAAATTGATTAATGTCCCCAGATGACTCGATAATCATGCTTGTGTAGCGTAAGAAAGGCAGTGTAGTGCCATAACACACTCCAGCCATCTGCATTTACCTGAGAAACTGTGCTTTGCAACCAAAACGAAGACTGTGTATGACCTCGCCATCTGGGAAACCGTGGCAACAAAATTCCTCTCCTGCTCCCTTGTCTTGTTCTGCAAGACTCCTGGAGAAGATGGACATTTTAACCATGATAACAGAATCTTATTCTGTTATTTTACAATTATTTCCTCACTCTACAGATTAATCACAATCATAAAACAATGACTGTTTAAAGTGAATTTAATAAGACTTGATTGCTTGACAGTAGTAATGAATCAAAAGAACTGTTTATTGTTGAAATGCATTCTTTTGGATCTTAAATGCACCAAACGAATCTACTTGATGAGTTCATTATCAGTCATGTCACATTTTAATACCAGTATTAACAATGGCAGTTGTATCCTATTTAGATCCCACAATAAGGGAAATACTCCTTTATGGGCCTGTTAGCCCTTCAATTGCACGTTCCCAGCCAGGGGTGCGAGTGCATAGGGTGTCCCGATTCTCAAGTGTGGAAGTTGGCCACGCCCCCATTGCACCCTTAATCTGCAGTTCACCCAAGTCTGCAGTGATATGGACCTCGGGCAAGGATATTACACACAAGTCATTGCTGCGGGAGAAAAGGCTCAAGTTCCTTTTCTGAAAATGTGTATTTTCTAATGAAATTTGTTCATTTTAGGATGATTAGTTGATGCTCTAAAACTTTTAGACAAAGCAACAATAAATGTAAATTTATTTCAAATAACTGTTTCGCTGTTTGTTTAAAAGTTGTTAATAAAGGTTTTTGAAAAAAGTATCACAGCGACCAACATCCCGGCATGCGTTGTGATCGATGACACAGTGCTCCCCGTCTCAATTCTGCAATCGTCTGCACACTTGTGCACTACGCACTCAAAGCCTTAGCACACACTTTCTCCAAGTGCACTTTGCTGAAGTCCACAGGGCGCAGTGTGGGTATTGAGATTGGGACGTAGACCCGCTCCCATATATTTTGGAACAGATTTTTATGGTTATTTGTTATGAAACTGCCAATATTTGTATAACACCGGGCATCATTTCATTCATTTACAACAACATTTCGATGGATATTTCCAGAGATTAATGGTAAAACCTACGCATTGTGACTTTAATTAAAAGTGTAGCCCTGACTGCAGGAACAAGGGGTGCGAGTTGATTATTGCAACACACTTCTCATTGGTCTCCCAAGCAAATCCCTCCGTAAACTGCAGCTTCTCCAGAATGCTGCAGCACGTGTCATCACTAGGACTTCTTCATCTCATCACATCACCCCCATCCTGCAACAACTTCATTGGCTGCCCAATAAACAGAGAATCAGTTTCAAAATTCTGCTCCTCACATTCAAAGCTCTCCATAACCTGGCTCCATCCTATATTTCTGATCTCATTCGCATCACCACTCCTGTCCGCGCTCTTCGTTCCTCTACTGCACCTCAACTCTCGGCTCCCTCCGCTGGGGAGTAGAGCGTTCAGCCGCTCTGCTCCCCACCTCTGGAATTCTCTGCCCCCTGATCTACGTACCACCCACTCTCTCGCACTTTTCAAATCATAACTCAAAACCCACCTCTTCACACAGGCTTTTACCACATAGTTTTAATACATTGTTTTAAATTTTAACATCCTAGTGTTTTTACATATTTCTGTACTGTTCATCTTGTTTTATTATTTTTTCCCCATTGTTGTAAAGTGTCCTTGGGTGTCCTGAAAGGCGCTGTTTTATTTTTATTATTATTATTAAGTGCTGCATTTCTTTGAAAGAGCACAAAGTACATTCAGTTGATCAGAAAAAGCTTTTTATTTAAAATAATAATAATAAAAAAGAAAAAAAAGACGAAAAAATCTTTAAATATATAAGGCAAGAAATAATATAAGGCAAGAAATCTGTAACAAACATAATTAAATCCAAACATAAACAGTTTTAATAAAGAGGTGTCTGCATGGAAAATAAAAAGGTACAAAAAGTAACAGAGTTCAGAACTTTCCTCTCAGATTTGACTAATTTAGGCCCAGTTTTGGTGAAACAGCTGTTAAAAATGAGTCAGACGACTTGATGATGCCTCTGACTTGCTGTGGATAAATAATTAGATATTTTCTGAATGGGTTTTAAACAATGACAGGGGGAAAACAAGTATTGCTAAGCAAGGCGAGATATTTTAGGCTGGCAGCTTGTGTTTAGCAGCCGGTGCAGGCAGCAAACGCGCAGATCTCACACACGTCCATGGGAAGTGCAGCTGAAATAAAGACAAGAAACACATTTCTGCTTCAGTCCACAGGATTTTAGTTCTCGTGATCTTATGTGGTCTCCTAAAACTCAAACAGGTCGATTATCCTCTCACCTAGTCTGATCAGGGATGCAGACCCTCCTCTCTGCTTGCAGAGAGGCAGCAGTTCCTGTGGAAGCATAGGTTCAGCACAGAAGGACAAGGTGTTCATTTGGAGCCGCGGGCTTTGTTGTCCTGTCACCACTCTGCTCTCTGCAAGTTCCTGGAGCCTCTTGACGGCCTCCAGGGAGAAAGACAAACCATTTTCCTGCAGGAAGAAGGAGGTCTAGTTGTCAGAAATAGCTCATTATTTAAATTTAGAAAGTGTGAAGTCACTACAATCAGGTTTCAGAATCACAACGAAATGTGACTTTTTCCTGCCGTGGAAGTCAAATGGTTTTCACTTACAAGATTTCCCTTTCTCTAATGAGCAGAAATGTCATCATTCAGCCTGGAACTCTTATCACGTGTGCATCAGTCGTGCAAAACTCCAAAAGAACAAGAACTTACCTCAACTTGCACAGCTTCGCAGGTGAAGCCGAGAGCCATGATGAGGAGGGCAACAGTGGCGAGCGTGGCCTTCATGGTGACAACTGGCAGAAGCTTCTTTTGCAACCTGGTTGTCTCCAGCTCTTCCAAGCAGATGTTCAGCTGAGTGCGTCTGCTTTCCCTCCTTCCCCAGGCCTCCTTTTAAACAGCTGGGCTCGGCCGTCACGTGATCAGAACCGCTACAAAGGAGAGCAAAGTTTTTCTCATGGGTTAATGAGTAGTGATGTGTTTTTACAAGGTAGTAAAGAGAAATTCATAAATCCTGCTCTGACCTCATCTTCTGTCTGATTAGCTTTATGGATGTGAGGCTCAGCGGTCTGAGGCGTCTCATCTCACCTCTTGTGGGTCAAAGTGATCAAGAAGACGACAAAACCTCACTTCCACAGGTATTTATTTAAAAAAATAAAAGGCCTGAAATGACATGCTTTTCTGCAAATCACTGAAAAACTACTGCACAAAGTTTAGCATAACAATGCTAAAGTAGACAGAACCATTCATATGGAAATATGACCCTGGCCGATGCCCATAAAGCTCTCATTAGCCCTTTGTGCATGGAAACAACTTCCTGGATGCTGCATGGATTGAATCGTGTCTATTCCAGTGGTGCAGACAGTGTGCAGCACTGCAGCTGTGAAAGCTCTCAGAAAAATGGAAGCAGGGGCTAATTCGGAACAAAAGGGAGCTTGTAATTGACTCAGCTGCTCCAGGCAACCAAGCATCGATGTAATCGTGTCGCTGCTGGTTGCAGCTTTGCTCTTTTTCCTGGTCAGTAGCATTTCAGCCCAGACCGGTGACCTTCCAGTTGCGCTCCAGCAGGGTTGCAAAAAAAAAAAAAAGAAAAATTCAATTGTTTTTGCGAGGCTCCACATTGGCAGCGGCACACAAAGCTCTGTCAGCGATGGGCATGCCAGCGACACATCTGGGGAGTTTGTAATGAGCTCATGAAGCCTGATTTTTCACGCAGACCTTGGAAGTCTTACTGGTTTAATCAGCAGATTGGATGCAGCACAGAGCATCTTCCTCTCATTGTTATTATCTAACGGTAAGAAAAAGGAATAAAGCATAAAAATGAAAATGAAAATGTGAAGTACATTATTGGAGCATTTTTAGCTGATTTATCAAATGAATTTAGCCAGTGTAATTTTACCAGAATAAATAATGTTCATCCACTACACAAAGGGCCTCAGAAACGTCTCACCTCATTTGGTAAAAGTTGTGAAAAAGAAGTTGCACGCAAAAAAAATCGCCTTTAATATAAAATAAACTACAATGTACTTATTTATCATTGGGTAAGATTAAACAAAACTAATAATTCTAAACAATAGAGAATTACTTATCAAAATAAATAAATGAGTAAGACTTTAAAATAAGGGTTCCTTTATTAAAGAGCAAGTCACCCCCTACCAGAGACTTACTCCACTCCCATTTCCTGTTTGAAAAATGCACCACAAGGAGGCATCGCCTAGCAGAGCAAGAGGGTGAAGCCACTAACAAATACACACACAGGCTCAAAGTGGCATTGTGACATCATATGGTACCAGCTAACATCATAGTGTACCTTTCAGCCAATAGTAATGGCAGATTTAAATTCAAATGTAGTGCAGGGTTTTAACCTAAAGAGGTCGCAACACTGACAGTTTTAGGCTGAATATTTAAATTTTGACGAAGATGCACTAAAGTGCAGAATTATTGACTACACGTGTCTACAGCACAAGCAGACACTCATTTATATAGTTTATCAGCAAAAAATGTTGATTTAGGAGTGACTTGCTCTTTAAAAACCTACCTAACATAAAAATAAAATAAGTCTAGTTTGTTCCTTAAATAAGAAAATAACTATGAAAACATATTATTTGTATTATATTTGGCCCACTTCGATCAAAACCGATAAAATACCAGCATTCCCCGCATGTTAATGAATAAAAAGTATTGTTTTCATCAGAACAGAGCTACGCTGCTTTTATTTTGATGGCGGGTTAGCTAATAAGCATTTTTAGGGATTGTGAAGAGTAAAACACAAACATACACAGTAAAGTTTACAGGTTACACACAATTATTTACAATAACAGACAATGTTATGTTGCTTTTTTAAAATTTATATTATAACATTTTATTAGCCTGACGTTCGGAGTAAAACGGTTTGCGACGCAAAGCAATATGGGAAACTTTGCTATCCCAGGTCCGTAGAAGGATGCATCCTTGATACAATGGGTGAAGCAAGAACACATCTGGAACTTTTAGTGAACTTGCCGTTATGCATACTTAGGACTGGGACAGTACTCGGGCCATCGTTGGTGACGTTTCACATGACATCTTACACTTTTTTTAAATTTACCACCACAATCATCAACAGCACTGCTCCATCTACACACACTCCTGTCACCCACATCCCTAAACTTTACAGGAAGTGCGTCGACCATTGCTGTGCACGTACGCAGTCCTGATGTCACTCCTACTTTGGGCACTTTGATGTGCAAATATTATTCCAGGGTAGGAGTGTCCTTCTAGCACTGATTCGCCTGTTTCTACCACACCTCTGTTGTTCTCTAACTGCATTCAAACATTATAATTTGGTAACAAAAACACTTTTGACATGCTTGAATATGACGATCACCACTTTTGATTGCAAAACTCACCATTTTATTGTTTTATATGCTTTTAAATGTTTTATGTGTGCTTCCCACAAAACCAAAGCCTATTTATCTTGTTAGATACTTACACATGAAGGAGGGTGTATTTAATTTCAAACTGAGTCACCGAGTGTGTAAAGGGATCGGCTTTGACTCATGGTGACTTTGCTCCAGATAAGCCACTGACTACTGATGAAAACAAACAGCATTGCTTGCATCTTCCATTATTAGTCATCAGAAATTAAATTATGAGGGTTATACGGTCCAGCAGGCTGATGGGAGTTATACGAGTCTGTTATTAATTCAATTCAATTCAATTCAATTCAATTCAATTCAATTCAATTCAATTCAAAGATACTTTATTAATCCCAGAAAGAAATTAGAGTTTCAGTACACACAATTCTGAGATCAGACATACATACATAGGCATAGGACACATGACAAGAATTGGTGACTGTGGTCATTCGCAACCCGAGTCGCGCTACCTTAATAGAGATCAGAGGGTTTATATGAGGATTGGTTCAGGTGGAGGAAAAAAAAAGCACTTCAGAGTTACCCTCCATAGGGAGGGCAGCTTTGCTATGCAAAAAAACACCTCAGGCAGAAATGCAACAGACTTCAGACATTACACAACATAAGTGTCCACTAGGTGGGGAGGTAGGGTAGAGGACTCTCCAAACATCAGTGCATGCAGCCACGATAAGCAGCGCTCGTCACCTCCGTTTGGACAGGGGAGGGAGGTCGTTGGGCTTAGAGGGCACAGTGACTCCTGGAACGATTCAACGGCCTTCACCGGTCGCAGTCCCGCCCAGGCTGGGATAGGGAGACAGAGTTGCCATGGCGACGGCAGCATTCCACATTTCTTCCGATGGGGAGTTATCGCTTCAGCCTCACAGGCTCAAAGGCACCAGATTCAGATAAGAACTTGTTTTGGGGCTGGACAGAGATAATTTCCTCTCTGTCTTAAAGTTCTGTTGGTCCTCAACCTCTCAAAATCCAATAATGATGTAATATATCCATCCCAATCTGCGCTGACCAGTCAACTCGCTCCTTGATGGAATCCACCTTCTGTGCCAGAGTCTGAATCTCAGCCAAAGTTCCAAGCTTACGACTCATCTCGACAATTATATAAGTCTGTGCGTTCACAGCACGGTGTAATCCATCCCTGAGCTCCGGGATTTAGCCAATATTCCTCAACAGCTCATTAATTTTCCGGTAAGCCAGATAGCCACTCAGGCCAAACAGCAGGACACCTGACACCAACACAACGAATATCCAAACGTCTTCAGAATCCTCTACAGACAGTTGAGAGAGGCATATCAGGTTCCACTGTTTCCAGGAGTCCATGATACACCCAGCTGGCTCTGTCCCAGAGGGGCAACCGGAAGCACCTTCTCCCGTTCTCATCATTGAAAAAATCTTGTCAATCGTGTTGAGAGACCAACTGACCAGGTCCATTTTTAGTAATTTCCAGTTTACAGAAAAAATGCAGAAGTGCCGTCCACCCAAAGACAGACAAAGAGCCTTGGGATAAGATAGGGAGGAGAGGAGGAAAAAAGCGTCTGTACTCTCCAAGAGCCGGAAGAAGAAATAATTCTCTTTGCCAGCTTTGAAATCACAGCAACAGATCAGCAGGAAGGCAAAAGGTTTGCTCAGAGATTAGGATGACTGTTAATAATTTAAATTTACGAAATTATTGAAAACATTTTCAGAGTCTATTGAGATGTGAGGTATTGGGCGAGGATGATGGACGTGGCTCAGTCTGACACTTCACTTCCCAAACAGATTGTTAGCGTTACGTTTGTTTTAAATGAAAAACGTTTGAGCTTCCTCTGGAAGCTTTATCTATCTAGGGCTCAGCTATTGCTAAGTGAGATGAAGGTGAGAAACTGCTGTCTGCAGCTCTGCAGCTGTGTACTGTTGTGGAATTCCCACAGTGGGAGGCGGGGTTTCATAAAACCCAAGCATCTAATTTTGAGGTTGAAGGAATGGCTCACAAAAACAACTTATGTCATAATAACTGATAAATAATAATAAATGACTTCTCAATAGTACCAATGGTAAAACTTATAATATGTTGTGCCTGCTTTTGCTCTGGAAGGTGTAAAATAACATGTTACAGACCCTTAAAAACATGTCTGGTAAAGTGATTTTTACAAACAGTCTAATTTAATATTTTTACATCAAACAGAAGCTTTTAAACAGTATATGAACTTACTACCAATCATAAAGCCCCTCCACAAATGTACTGGATGCTGGGATTTCCCACTAGACGGTTACTGCTAGGATTAAAGCTGTAAAATGGGCAGCCCCTCTCCATGTATGTAACAAGCTCTACTTGTTACATCACAGCTTGGACAGTAACTAGATACTAAACCATACAGTAAAATTCCAAAACATGTTATTAGTTCAACATTTGAGGTGCAATATGTAGGGCTGAAGTAAGAATGACATTCTGTGGTAAAAATACCTGAGTTTCTCACTCCTGTTCTGTGAGTTTCATAT